CCAGCCTTGTATCCCTGGGATGAAGCCTACTTGATCGTGATGGATAAGCTTTTTGATGTGGTGTTGCAATCAGTTTGCCAGTATTTTATTGAATATTTTTGCATCTGTGTTTAAAGTCTATTTTATCAGAGACTAGGATTGCAACTCCTGTTTTTGTTTGCTCTCCATTTGCTTGGTAAATCTTCCTCCATCCCTTTATTTCAAGCCTATATGCATCCTTGCCTGTGAGATGGGTTTCCTGGTTACGGCACACTGATGGGTTTTGATCTTTTATCCAATTTGCCAGTCTGTGTCTTTTGATTGGAGCATTTGGCCCATTTACATTTAAGGTTAATATTGTTATGTGTGAATTTGATCCTGCCATTTTGATGCTAGCTGGTTGTTTTGCCCATTAGTTGACAGTTTCTTCATTGTGTTGATGCTCTTTGCCATTTCATACATTTTTGGAGTGGCTGGTACTGGTTGTTTCTTTCTATGTTTAGTCCTTCTTTCAGGAGCTCATATAATGCAGGCCTGGTGGTGACAAAATCTCGCAGCAATTGCTTGTCTGTAAAGGATTTTATTTCTCCTTCACATATAAAGCTTAGTTTGGCTGGATATGAAATTCTAGGCTGAAGGTTATTTTCTTTAAGGATGTTGAATATTGGCCCCCACTTTCTTCTGGCTTGTAGGTTTTCTGCTGAGAGATCTGCTGTGAGTCTGATGAGCTTTGTTGGTAACCCGACTTTTCTCTCTGGCTGCCCTTAGCATTTTTCCCTTCATTTCAACCCTGGTGAATCTGATGATTATGTGCCTTGGGGTTGCTCTTCTTGAGGAATATCTTTGTGGTGTTCTCTGTATTTCATTGACTTGAATATTGGCCTGCCTTGCTAGATTGGGGTAGTTCTCCCAGATAACATCCTGAAGAGTATTTTCCAACTTGGATTTATTCTCTCCATCACATTCAGGTAAACCTATCAAATGTAGATTAGGTCTTTTCACATAGTCCCATATTTCTTGGAGGCTTTGCTCATTTCTCTTCACTCTTTTTTCTCTATTCTTGCCTTCTTGTTTTGTTTCATTGAGTTGATCTTCAGTCTCTGATATCCTTTCTTCTGCTTGGTCGATTCAGCTATTGAAACTTGTGTATGCTTCGTGAAGTTCTCATGTTGTGCTTTTCATCTAAATCAAGTCATTTATATTCTTCTCTGAGATGTTTATTCTCATTAGCATTTCATCAAACCTTTTTTTCATGGTTCTTAGTTTCTTTGCCTTGGGTTAGAACATGTCCTTTTAGCTCAGAGAAGTTTGTTGTTACCCACTTTCTGAAGCCTATTTCTGTCAGCTCAACAGACTAATTCTCAATCCAGCTTTGTTCCCTTGTTGGTGATGAGTTGTGAACCCTTGGAGGAGGAGAGGCATTCTGGTTTTGGTGTTTTCATCCTTTTTGCGTGGTTTTCTTCCCATCTTTGTGGATTTGTCTACCTATCGTCTTTGTAGTTGGTGACTTTCAGATGGGGTCTCTGAGTGGACACCCTTTTTGTTGATGTTGAGGTTATTTCTTTCTGTTTTTTAGTTTTCCTTCTAACAGTCAGGCCCCTCTGCTGTAGGACTGCTGGAGGTCCACTCCAGACCCTGCTTGCCTGGGGCTCACCTATAGCAACTGTAGAATGGTAAAGGTTGCTGCCAGTTACTTCTTCTGTTGTCTTTGTCTCAGAAGGATACCCACCAAATGTCAGCCTGAGCTCTCCTTTATAAGGTGTCTCTTTGGATATACAGGGGTCAGGGAGCTGCTTGAGGAGACAGTCTGTTCCTTACCAGAGCTCAAGTGCTGAGCTGTGAGCTTTGTTTTTTCTTTCAGAGCTGCTGGACAGGTACATTTAAGTCTGTGCAGTGGAACTCATAACCACCTTTTTTCCCTGGTGCTCTGTCCTGGGATGGTGGGGCTTTATTTATAAGTTCCTGACATGCTGCTGCCTTTTTTCAGAGATGCACTGCATGCGAGGAGGTAGTCTAATCACAGTCTGCTAGAAGAGGTGTTGCTGAGTTGCCATGTGCTCTGCCCAACTGCTGTTTAAAATTCCTTGTGATTTTGTTTACAGAGGTGTAGTTAGAACTGCCTCGGTAATGACAGTCTTAGTAATGGCAAACTGTCTCTGTAATAGTGGACTGCCTAGGTAATGGCAGATTGCCTTGGTAATTAATGGTGGACTGCCTCAGTAATGGTGGACTGACTTGGTAGTGGTGGACTGCCTCGGTAATGGCAGATGTTCTTCCTCTCTCAGTGCTGGACTGTCCCAAGTTCAGCTGTGCTTGCCGTGAAGCTCTTTCCAGAGTGTTTTAGATTGCTCGTCTCTGTGGGGGTGGGACCAGCTGAGCCAGATCACCTGGCTCCCTATTTCAGCCTCCTTTTTTTCAGTTGAATGGGTGACTCTGTCTCCTAGGCATTCCAGGCACTAGTTGAAACGGCTGCCAGATTTGTATGAGTAGTTGTGCAGAGACCCACTGTGTCAGCTGAAACAGCCATGCTGGAGACTCGTGACACTTTTCTGCCTGGCAATCTCCTGGTCTGTGGGCAGTAAAAACTCATTTGGAAATGTGGTGATCACTCACCCTCTGCATTCTCTCTGGAAACTGCACTCCAGAGCTGTTCCTATTCGGCCATCTTTGATTTATTTTCCTTTTATAGCTGGTTGGACAAGAAAACTAAGAAGACATTCTAGGCAGAGATGATTGAGGTAGCAAAGTAGGTACGAAGGACCACAGTGCCACACAGGCTGTGGCCTAAGATCCTCACAAGCCTCAGCTCCCTAGGCTGTGCCCCTCCTTCAGATTTTCTACATAGACAATGATGTAATCTGTGAACAAGGACACACATTTATTTCTAGCCAATCTGTATCCATTTTGTTTACTTTTTTTTTTTTTTTTTTTTTGCCTTATTGCATTAGCTGGGACTTTCAGTGTGATATTAAAAAGTATTGGGGAATGCTGGGCGCAGTGGCTCAAGCCTGTAATCCCAGCACTTTGGGAGGCCGAGGCGGGTGGATCACGAGCTTGAGAGATCAAGACCATCCTGGTCAACATGGTGAAACCCCGTCTCTACTAAAAATACAAAAAATTAGCTGGGCATGGTGGCACGTGCCTGTAATCCCAGCTACTCAGGAGGCTGAGGCAGGAGAATTGCCTGAACCCAGGAGGCGGAGGTTGTGGTGAGCCGAGATCGTGCCATTGCACTCCAGCCTGGGTAACAAGAGCGAAACTCCGTCTAAAAAAAAAAAAAAAGAGAAAGTATTGGGGAGAGGAGAAGTCCTTTGCCTTGTTCCTGATTTAATGGGAAAACTTTAGGGTTCTCACAGTTCAGTATGATGTCAGCCATTAAGACCTTGTCTCCAAATATGGCACATTTTGAGATGCTGGGGATTAGTACTTCATGTAATGAATTTTTGGAGGGCTTACAATTCAGCTTATATCAGTTGGATATTGTATATGAAAAGTTGTGGAGGCTCTGGATAATGTGTCTTTTGAGAGTTTTTTCCTTCTGTTTTTTTTTTTTTTTTTTTTTTTTTTTGCTGATTTAACCTTACTTAAGTTTATTTATTTAGATTTTTTCCCACCTTTACTGAGATATGATTGACATGTGATTTTATTTTATTTATTTATTTTTAAATTGTACTTTAGGTTCTGGGGTACATGTGCAGATCATGAAGGATTGTTGCATGGCAATGAAGTTTGCTGCCTTCATCCCCTCATTACCTACATCTGGCATTTCTCCCCATCTTGTCCTCCCTGACATCCCAACCACCCTGCACTCCCTCCCTTGGCCCCCTTATTTTAGTTTTTGTTGTAGCTTTGTACGATACATGAATTTTAAATTTATTGGTGTTTTCATATTCCCCTTTAATTTTCGCCTTATTTGTTGAATATCAAAGGATTTTAGAGGGCACAATTTTAAAAGTCCCCTCTAAATTCCACTTACACTTCTTTTCAGAGTGCCATTCAACCTATTCCTCATAGACCATTATGCAAAGTACCTTATTATGCTCTGGTGTAAAGTTGAGGAATTGAAAACTGTTAAATGCTATTTCTCTTGCTAAAATAAGTTTCTAAAATTAACCAAATGTATAATTTAATGACCATTGCTTTTTCTGTTATCTCTATGATGTTTTCTAGACATGTCTTCACTCTCCCTGTATTCTCTCCTACATTGTATTCCTACATACAATGTGGCTACATGAATACATGCTTAAAACCATTTTTAGCTCCCAATATCTGACCATGGCATTCTGAATCTTCTACAGCCTGATTCCTACCTACCTTCTTTCCAGAATCTTTTTCTTCTATTCTTCAGAAAATTTGTGCTTCAGTAATTCACATTGACTTTGTGCACATCAGAAAAGCCACTCTGTCTCACACCTGTATGCTTTACACATGATTTCTTCTTTAAATAGAATGTCATCTGGGTGTGGTGGCTCATGCCTATAATCTCGGCACTTTGGGAGGCCAAGAAGGGGGGAATGCTTGAGGCCAGGAGTTTGAGGCCAGCCTGGGCAACATGGTGAAACCCCATGTGTATTTGATTGCTCACACAGATAAGTAAAATACAATGGCTTTTGATGTTATGTTGCTAGAGTTATATTACATTTCTTGTGTTTCTGTATTTTGGGAGGGTCTCTTCTGATGAGCAGGACAATTTACCTTCCAGGAGAGCTCTGGGTAAGCAACCAATGGGTCCTTGCAATTGAGGTGGACATCCTTGATGGTGGGAGTCTGTCTGAACTGAAAGATAACAATCATCGGGTAAGCTTCTTCCTCAGAAGTGTAATAGTGAATAGCAGGCATGTGACTGCTTTGCCACCTACTTCTCAATGCAGAATTCTGAAGCTTCAAGTATCTGTGTGGGAAGGAGGTCAATATAATGGTTATGGGTTATTAACTTTGTCAATATTTTCAAGCCTAATTTAGAGAAAATACGTTATTTGGCATGTGTTTTTATTGAATTTTTTCTAATAATTTTCTTATAGGTGGTTTACATGATTACAATAAAAGGAAAGCCACATTTTGTCCATCTCAAAAAGCAGTAAGTATTTTATCTTTTCAAATTTTAGTACTTTGGCTTCCTAATTTCTAAAAGTATGTATAAGTAGAATGAATCATTTTGATTCAAATATATTGATACTTACTCTATACTGGGTATTGAGTAAAATCCTAGGCATGCAAAGGAGAATAAAATACGTTGCCCTGTTAAGGAATTTTTAATATAGAAGCATACATTCAGACACATTAATAGAAAAGCAAATAATTTTATTATAATATGGTAAAATGATAAATGTGTAAATAGTATTCCTTGGAATTCAGGGAAGGCTTTTAGGGAAGAGGTAAGAGATTACTTGTATCTTAAGGGAAGAGACAGAGTTAGCTCTGTAAAGAAGAGGGGCAGGACAGGGGAATATATATATATATATATTTGAGACAGAGTCTTGCTTTGTTTCTCAGGCTAGAGTGCAGTGGTGTGATCTTGGCTACTGTAACTTCTACTTCCTGGGTTCCAGTGATGCTCATGCCTCAGCCTTCCAAATAGCTGGGACTACAGTGTGCACCACCAAGTCCAGCTAATTTTTTGTATTTTTAGTAGAGGTGGGGTTTTACCATGTTGCCCAGGCTGGGCCCCAACTCCTGGCCTCAAACATTCTTCCCTCAAAGCTTGGCCTCCCAATGTACTGGGATTACAGCATGAGCCACTGCACCCAGCCGACATTCTATTTAGAGAAGAAATCATGTGTAAAGCATAGAAGTGTGAGACAGAGTGGCTTTTCTGATGTGCACAGAATCAATGTGAATACTGATGCACAAATTTTCTGAAGAATAGAGATAAAAGATTCTGGTAAGGTAGGTAGGAGCCAGGCTATAGAAGATTCAAATACTGGGAGCCAAAAATGGTTTTAACCATGTACTTATGTAGCCACATTGAGTCTTGTAGACTGTTTTTGAGGGGACAAAGTCAGAGTTTAGGTGAGTAATGTTGGTGGTTTGAACAACGGCACCAGTGATATCACTCGAAAGAAAAATTCAGTTGACCTCAATACAGATTTGGTAGAATGATTAGTAAAAAGTGAGAAATTTCAGATAATTTAATGTTGCTCAAGTAAATGAATAGGCTATAGTATAATTAACTGAGGAATACAAGTAAGGGATATATTTGTGTGAGGAAGGGGTGAGTTTGGTTTTTTTGTACCTGTGAGATATCCAAGTAAGTTTTTTCCTCTAGATCAGGTGTGTCCAATCTTTTGGCTCCCCTGGGCCACACTAAAATAATTATCTTGGGCCACATACAAAATACATTAATGACAGCTGGTGAGGGAAAAAAAAAAGAAAGAAAAAAAAGAAAAAAAATCTCATAATGTTTTAAGAAGATTTACAAATTTGCACTGGGCTGCATTCAAAGCCATCCTGGGCTGTATGTGGCTAGGAATTTGAATCTATGAAAATAGCGTTATGATAAAATCTAGTAGAGTACAGGAGTTTAAAATTATAGAAGAGAAAAAGTATGTATTCATTGTATATGGCACAGGATGGTATCCATAGCACCAGTGTAAGGGTTTGTTCTAAATAAAAGATGAAACCTTCCAGAAATAAGGATAAGGAGTGCAGATGGGAACAGTTGATCTGAGAGTGAGGGAACAGGGGAGTTATGTGGGATGATTGACAGGAGTAGTGTCAAGTTTTTGAATAGTTACTGAGGGCAATAAAATTCTGACTAGAGTTATTGAGAAAAACTTGGCATATAGTAAAGCTTAGCAAATATGAATTTGTAATGAGAACAAGTAAATCTGTTTTCTATCTGCATTAGTCTGTTTTCACACTGCTGATGAAAATATAGTCAAGACTGGGCAATATACAAAAGAAAGGGGTTTATTGGACTTACAGTTCCACGTGGCTGGAGAGACCTCACAATCATGGCAGAAAGCAAGGAGGAGCAAGTCACATCTTACGTGGATGGCAGCAGGCAAAGAGGGAGCTTGTGAAGAGAAACCATCAGATCTCATAAGACCCATTCACTATCACGAGAACAGCATGGGAAAGGCTCACTCCCACGATTCAGTCATCTCTCGCAACATGTAGGAATTATGGGAGCTACAAGATGAGATTTGTGTGGGGACACAGAGCCAAACCATATCATTGTCTTAACCTTACAATTTAATTTTGAAACTTGGGTACAAAGTATAAAATCAATGAGCGATACAGACAAAGATCGAAAGTTCTGTGTTGGAAATTGGGATCTACGCTTTCTCCTTTTCATGTCTCTAGAAATTTGAGTTGCTCATTTATCTGCACTTTAGTATTGTATGTCATTCTATTTAAAATGTCTCACTGAGTACCTAATTCAGTGTTGCGTGCTGAAAATACATGGATGATAGGATAGAACAAGCTGATTAGCAGTACTTTAAATTCTTCAGTAAAAAAAAAAATTACATGAATATTTTTTCTAACTTTTCTGTTTCATAACTTGAGCAAGTTTTTATGATTTTTGCCTAGATCACTTTTATCTTCAGCTTCTCTTATTCATTCTTATGACAAAAATGACATCCAACATTCTAAACCTCTGCTAGTTCAGGTAAGAGTTAGGTTACTTTTTTCTTACATATTTGTAATTCTCGATTTCTTTAAAAAGACAAATATTCTATAATTACTAGAATATTATTCTGCATATTCACTGAAATTGATTAACTTGGGCTGGTGCTTATTTCTACCTGCCACAAATTTGTTAGGTAATTGCCAATCATATTAAAGTAGAAACAAGGCCGGGCGCGGTGGCTCAAGCCTGTAATCCCAGCACTTTGGGAGGCCGAGGCGATGGATCACAAGGTCAAGAGATCGAGACCATCCTGGTCAACATGGTAAAACCCCGTCTCTACTAAAAATACAAAAAATTAGCTGGGCATTGTTGTGCGTGCCTGTAATCCCAGCTACTCAGGAGGCTGAGGCAGGAGAATTGCCTGAACCCAGGAGGCAGAGGTTGCAGTGAGCCGAGATCGCGCCATTGCACTCCAGCCTGGGTAACAAGAGCGAAACTCCGTCTCAAAAAAAAAAAAAAAAAAAAGAAGTAGAAACATAGCTAAAGTAATAAATAAAAATAATATATAACAGCTGTTCATTTTAAAAATAAGTTGTTCATTAGTTTTTCTTTTCTTTGTTTTTTTCAGATGAATTGCAATTATAATGGATATGTTGCGGGTATTCCTAATTCTCTTGTGGCTCTCAACACATGTTCAGGACTCAGGTTGTAGACTACTTAAAGATACTCATTTTGCCAATATTATATCCTGCTAGCCTACGAATTAATTCTCCATGGATCTGTTCTAATTCTATAATCTCCTTTGTTATTTCAACTTCTTAGGAACTGAACCAAAATTATTAATAAAATAGGATTGATATTCCAACACTATCTGTTCCTGATGAGAAGCTACTTGATACTGACAGAATCTGCTGCTTTGGCTTTAAGAAAGTTTGAGTGTAGGGAGATTGATTCATCTCCTCATACTTTAGTTTTCTCAAATTCTGTTCTTGTCCAATTTCATAATTTCCTAGACTAATTGGCAATTGTGGAATGCATGAGACTAATAGACACTGGCTTTGCAGTCAGTCATTATTAGGCATATAGTACCTTCAGTTCAGCCCTCACTAACAAATGATTTAGGTATAATTATCAGAGGATAGTTAAGTGTATTAAAGAGAAGAAATCAAAGACTAAAGAAGAGAGTGCCTACAGATTCTACAGGCTGGTCAAAGAATCTGTACAACAGAAAGGGGTTTCAACTTATTTAAGTGCACAGATCCATGTCACTATCATGCTTTCTTGAAGATAATAACAGATTTGTAATGTAAGGCAATATATATCATGTGATATAGTGGTTTAGTTGTGGTATAAGCAAGACCACACGGAAGATAAAGAGATAAAAGTAAAAAACTAAGGTCTCTTTAAATCTTAAAAACTGGCTCAAATTTCTCATTATAATATTATGGTTTTGGTAGAATCATTCCAGCTTTGTTTTGATTGTTTAAACACTCAGGGGAACAATACAGTTGAGAAACATCTCATATGGAATTGAACCAATGGAGGCTGTATCAGGATTTATACACAGGATTTATGAAGAAAAGTATGATAATACTAATATTCTTTTACAAGAAAATGACACTTATTCTTGGTTGAGTTCAGAGTATCAAGTCAGAAAAAGTCCAGAAGTAAGTATTGACTCTTTTATCTTAATTTATTATAATTTTGTGAAATAAAAAATAGTTTCAGAGCCAAGATTTGGTGACTGACAAATCTTAAAATTATTTTGCTTTTTCATCAGGGCCCTGCATGACTTTTAAAGTGGCAAGAGAATAAACCTGTGTTTGTCATTATGCTTGCCATTAGATGAAAGCTTAGCAAAAACTTAATCTTAGAAATATGAAGATATGAATATAGCATAAAAGAAACTGAAACATTAATTTTCATATGTAAGCATTTAGATAATTAACATAAAATATCTCTTTTTTTCAATTACTCAGATAATTTAGGGGAGAATATTATACAACTTAGATTTCTCAGTTGAGTTTTTGTTTTGTAAGAATTAAAAAATGGATGAGTGACTTACATAAAGTACATGTAAAAGCAAAGTGATGAGCTTTTTCTCTACAAAGACCCATAGACTACCTTAAATAACACATCTGCCTTTAGCAAATTGCCATTGGTTGTAAATTTTTGTAATATTTTTCTAGACTACATTGTTTGCCAAAAGTAACTTCCTAGTAATTGGTAGCAGAAAATCTGCTCACATGAAAGATTCGTATGAAAATTATCAAAAGGCTAAGAAAATCAAAGCTTTATGTTATAAACCAAAAATTTCCAGTTTCAATTATTATACAAATAAGAGATACCTGAATTCTTATATATCTTGAGATGTCTAATAGAAATGTCTTGCTACCCAGGGTACTTTGAACTGGAATCTTCTGAATAGTATCTAAATTTTATACTTGAAAACAGTCTCATTATATAATCAGGAGCAATGTATCTTTCAGTTTATCTCTCAATATAATTTCAGTAGAAGGTAAATTTTTGTAAATTTCTCATAACTCATGTTGTGTGTTTTTCAGAAAATGGACTTTATTAAGTTATTCCCTCGATATCTTGAAATGTATATTGTTGTGGACAAAAATATGGTAAGTCTTCTTTTATAAATTGTTATTTTAGAATTAACATTTCTCTTTAACTTGATTTTAGTGATGCAATGAAAATTATCAACCATTTTATTTGCATTTGCAATGAACACATTCTTACAAATTATGAGTAAAATGAGTTTTTGTTAATTTATTTTGTATATAGCATCTACTCACTTTTGCAAAGTAAAACATCTTAATTTCAAAAGCTTGTTGACTATTGTTATTGTTTCAAAAAAACTACAGCCTAGATGAAAGCATAGATTACAACTCCCTTAAGCCCTTAACCCTCATATATAATAATAATATCTAACTGCCTCAGTCTAATAGGAAGGATGGTCTACAAAACAAATATGCCACTTCTTTAAAGCAAAAGGAGAAAACAAATTATCACCTGTTTTATTCTCAGTTCTAGGTAAGTGAAACAAAAAGAAAAGCAAATGAACAAACTACTCATATTGAGAATTCATGACTATACTTTAGATCTCTTATGAATTTAGGCTCTGAATATTTATTACGTATGTGGTTAGGATTCTAATCCACGAGGCTACATTTGTCCCAGGTTGGTAAAAGCTGAGGGTGCATGATGGAAGCAAAAAGTATTTATCTCTGGAGGAATGCCACTTCAAGCAGAATACTTCTGGATTCCTACAGATTAATATCAGCCATACATATATGGGCTCACAATCCATAAGGAAATAAAACACCATGAACAATGGCTAGCAAAACAAAAAATATATGTATGATGGCTAATATCAAGTTTTAAAAAAATAGTTTATGATTGGCAGAACAATAGGATGACTATCATTGACAATAATTGTGTGTATATATATATATATATATATATATATATATATATATATATAATGTTTTATTGCACTTTACATTCTGGGGTACATGTGCAGAACATGCAGGACTGTTGCATAGTTACACATATGGCAATGTGGTTTGTTGCCTCCATCCCTGTCACCTATATCTGGCATTTCTCCCCATGTTATCCCTCCCCAACCTCCCCACCCACTGCTGTTCCTCCCCTAGTCCCCCACAACAGACCCCAGTGTGTGATGCTCCCCTCCCTGTGTCCATGGGTTCTCATTGTTCAACACCCACCTATGAGTAAGAACATGCACTCTGTTGCCCAGGCTGGAATGCAGTGACATGATCTTGGCTCATTGCAACCTCTGCTTCCCAGGTTCAAGTGATTCTCTTGCCTCAGCCTCCTGAGTATCTGGGATTACAGATGCGCACCACCACGCCTAGCTAATTTTTGTATTTTAGTAGACACGGGGGTCTCGCCATGTTGGCCAGGCTGGTCTTGAACTCCTGACCACAGCTGATCTGCCTGTCTCAGCCTCCCGAAGTGCTGGGATTACAAGCATGAGCCACCATGCCCAGCCTCAAGCAATTTTTACATACTCCATGTTGAGTTGAGATGTCTCTTCTATCTTTCTTTCCAGGAGTGTCAGGAGCTATAGTCAAGTTTCAAGAAGGGAGAATGCTGTTGAGACTGTGCAGGCAATGGCCTAAAAACAATAAAAGCTTCATTAAAAGCTGATTTCTTTTGATTATTATCCTGTACTAACAATTTGAAGTAATATCAGGGATAAAATAAATCACTGGGCAGACTCCTCCCATGCCTGCCACTAGTTGATATGGCACTGCGAAAGCACTCCAATATCTTCCTTAAGAAGGATACATCATCATTTAAATAATGAAAACAATAAATATTCACTATAGAATGTCTAGAAAAATTTGAAAAAATATTTTTAGGAGAGAATTCACATTAACTCCATCACTTATTGACAATCATAGCCCTTTATGTCATTATTATTTTTTTGGTTATTAAAAGTAATTCTGCTATAAACATCCTTGTTATATATATTTCTTTTGGCATTTGTGGTTTTTTGGAAGTACATTCTTGCCCCACATGCATTAGGTGTTTGTTCTAATGCTCTTCCTCCCCTTGCTCACCATGCCCCACCAGGCTCTGGTGTGTGATTTTCCCTCCCTGTGTCCTTGTGTTCTCATTATTCAACTCCCACCTATGAGTGAGAACATGCAGTATTTGATTTTCTGTTCCTGTGTTAGTTTGCTGAGAATGATGGCTTCCAGCTTCATCAATTTCCCTGCAAAGGACATGAACTCATTCTTTTTTATGGCTACACAGTATTCCATGGTGTATATGGGCCACATTTTCTTTATCAACAGTCTAACATTGATGGGAACTTGGGTTGGTTCCAAGTCTTTGTTATTTTAAGTAGTGCTGCAGTAAACTTACATGTGCATGTGTCTTTATAGTAGAATGATTTACAATCCTTTGGATATATATTAGTAATGGGATTGCTGGGTCAAAATGTATTTTGTGTTCTAGATCCTTGAGGAATCGCCACAGTCTTCCACAATGGTTGAATTAATTTACACTCCAAGCAACAGTGTAAAAGCATTCCTATTTCTCCACATTCTCTCTAGCATCTGTAGTTTCCTGACTTTTTAGTAATAGCCATTCTAACTGGTGTAGATGATATCTCATTGTGGTTTTGATTTGCATTTCTCTAATGATGAGTGATGATGAGCTTCTTTTCATGATTGTTGGCTGCATAAATGTCTTCTTTTGAGAATTGTCTGTTCATATACTTTGCCCACTTTTTGAGGGGTTTATTTGTTTTTTCCTTGCAAATTTGTTCAAGTTCCTTGTAGATTCTCGATATTAGACCTATGTCAGATTGCAAAATTTCTCTCTCTTTCTGTAGGCTGCCTGTTCACTCCTTTCTGATGTAAGCATTTATAGCTATAAACTTACCTCTTAGTACTGCTTTTGTTATATCCGATAGATTTTGGTATATTGTGTTTCCATTATCATTCGTTTCAAGAAAATTTTTAATTTTCTTCTTAATGTCTTTCAGAAGCATGTTGTTTAATTTCCATGTATTTGTATAGTTTCCAAAATTCTTCTGTTATTTCTAGTTTTATTCCATTGTGGTCAGAGAAGATGCTTGATTTTGTTTCAATTTTTTAAATGTTTTAAGATGAACAAGGAGGGGAGCACTACACACTGGGGTCTGTTGGGGGGAAATAGGGGAGGGACAGTGGGGAGTGGGGAGTTGGGGAGAGATAGCATGGGGAAAAATGCCAGATACAGGTGATGGGGAGGAAGGCAGCAAATCACACTGCCATGTGTGTACCTATGCAACAATCTTGCATGTTCTTCACATGTACCCCAAAACCTAAAATGCAATAAAATAAATTAAAAAAAAAAAAAAAAGAAAAAAGACCTGTTTTGTGACCTAACATTTGGTCTATCCTTGAGACTGATTCATGGGCTGAGGAGAAGAATGTATATTCTGCAGCTGTTGGATAAAATGTTCTATAAATATCTATTAGATTCATTTGGTCTATAGTGCAGATTAAATCTGATTTTTGTTGTTGGTGTTGACTTTCTGTCTGAAAGATATTTCCAATGATGAAAATGGGGTGTTGAAGTCTCCAGCTAATATTGTGCTGAGTCCCATTTGTGTCTTTAGCTATAATGATTGCTTTATATCTCTGTCAGCACTTTGTAAAAAAAAAAAAAAAAAAAAAAAGAGAGAGAGAGAGAATTTGCTTTGTACATCTGGGTACTCCAAGGTTAGGTACATATATGTTTAGAATTGTTATATCCTCTTGCTGAATTGACCCCTTATTTGCTATATAGTTACCTTCTTTGTCTCTTCTTATGGTTTCTGTCTTGAAACCTATTTTTCTGATATAAGTATAGAAACTCATGCTTTTTTTTTTGGTGTTCATTGGCATGAATATATTTTCCATCTTTTAATTTTTATTTTTTGTATGTCTTTATAGTTGAAGTATGTTTCTTGTAAACAACGGATCAATGTATTTAGTATTTTTAATCCATTCAGCCAGTCTATGTCTTTTGATTGGAGAGTTTAGTCTATCTGCATTCAATGTTTTTATTGATAAGTAAGAAGGACTTACTGTTGACATTTTATTATTTGTTTTCTGGTTGTTTTGTGGTCATATCTTTCTTTCTTTCATTCCTATCTTCCTCTAGTGAAGTTGGTTTTTCTTTGGTGAGGATTTAGTTTCTCATTATTTTTTGTGTATGCATTGTATGTTTTTTGGTTTGAAGTTACCATGAGGCTTGCAGATACTCTCTTATAACCCATTATTTTAACCTGATGATAATGTAACACTTTTGCATAAAAAAACAAAGAAGCAAAAATAAAACTAATAAAACTCTACACCTGAATTTCATCCTCCCACTTTCTAACTTTTTGTTGTTTTCATTTATATCTTATTGTACTGAGTATGTCTTGACAAGTTTTTGTAGTTGTTATTTTTGATTGGTTCGTTGTTTAGTCTTTCTATTTAGTATAAGAATAGTTTGTACACCAGAGTAGTTTATAGCACCAGTTATAATGCTGTAATATTCTGTGTACTTAATATTACCAGCAAGTTTTGTATCTTCAGGTGATTACTGCTCATTAATGTCTTTTTCTTTCTGACTGAAGAACTCCCTTTAGCATTTCATGTCATAGGACATGTTTGGTATTGATGAAATCTCTCAGCTTTCATTTGTCTGGGAATGTCAGTCACTATTTCTCCTTCATCTTTGAAGGATATTTTCACTAGATATACTATTCTAGGGTAAAAGGATATTTTTTCCCCTACAGCACTTTAAATATGTCATGCCATTCTCCTTGCCTGTAAGGTTTCTACTGAAAAGTCAATAATTTGGAGCTCCATTATATGCTATTTGATTCTTTTTTCTTTCTGCTTTTAGGGTCCTGCCTCTGTCTTTCACCTTTGGGAGTTTGATTATGAAACACCTTGAGGTAGTCTTTTTTGGGTGAAACCTGGTTGGTGTTCTGTAATCTTCTTGTAGTTGGATATTGATGTAGTTGGAGATATTTGTTATTATCTTTTGAATAAATTTTCTGCCTCATCCCTTTCTCTATCTCTTCTTTAAGGACAATAACTGTTACATTTACCCTTTTGAGGCTACT